TTCTTGCTTCGTCATCTCCGCCTTGCTTGCTTTTATATTTACACGTTTTTATCCCCAATATAACCCTTAATTCTTTTTAAAGACATTGAGTAACTGTCTCCTAAATCAGTGTTTGAAGAATATAGGGATAGTTTTTATATAATGTTATATTATATAAAAACTATTATTATTATTATTATTATTATTATTATTATTATTATTGCATATTGTAAATGTAGTTAATAAAGTACCAAACTACATTTAAATTCCCTAAATAAAAATTATCAATCAAAAGCTAAAAGCACCAAAATCCCAAAAGAAATGATAGAGATCTAGGTGTTTTCATCATCACAAAATTATGGAAAATTATTATTCCATGCATATTGTAAATGTTGTTAATGAAGTACCAAACTACATTTAAATTCCCTAAATAAAAATTATAAATAAAAATCTAAAAGCACCAAAATCCCAAAAGAAATGATAGAGATATGGGTGTTTTCACCATCACAAAATTATGGAAAAATTTTAAACTTATGTTAAAAATATTAATTAAGTCAAATATGAAATTAACAAGGGACGATTAGGATACTATCACTTGTCGCCTTTAGGCTGTCCTCTCTTATCTTTTTTTTTTTTCAATTTTAAATCAATTCATTTCATAATAATAACTAGAAACAACCATCCCGTTACATTGGAGATAATTATTTTTCTATCAAAATTTATTATTATTATTATTATTTATCAATCTTTTATTATTTTAAATATATTTATAATTATTTTAATACATAATTTAATAAGGTATTATAATAATTTTTAAACAAATGTCACATACTAACTTTTTATGAAGTAATCATAAAAGTATTTTCGTAATTATGATAAAAAGGTGTTAAAGTAATTTTAATCAATTATAATATAAGGGTATTTTTATAATTATAATAGTAAAAGCATTATAATAATTTTAACCAATTATAGTAAGAAGGGTATTTTCATAATTATGATAAAAAAGATATCATAGTAAGATGGTGGTCAAATTATGCAATTAGTCCATATACTTATATGAAATTTAAACTTTAATTCCTATACAATAATTTGTAGAAATTAGGTTCTCATACTAATTTAATTTAACAATGTTGGTCCAATTGATAACAGTGTTATTTAATCTTTGTTAAATAGCTGACATGGTCGTTAACCATGTTAACATGGTTGTTGATCATACTGACGTGGTAGTTGCTTATGCTGACATGACATTGACTTACAGACATGACATTGAAATTAATAAAATTAGTTGTTAAATTATACAAATGGTCATTATTCTAATATGAAGTTTGAAATTTAGTCCTTATAAATTTAGTCTTTGTACTCACACGAAATTTAAACTTAATCCTTCTAATATAAAAAATATTTTGAACTTTTTTGAATTTTTTTAGTTTTTTCAAATTATTAAAATTTAAAAATATTTTAGTTCCTCTAATATACTAGTTTTTATTATATGTAATTAATTATTAATAATATTGTATTAATAATATTATTATCATTTATATTAATCAATTATAATATTAATAATTTAAAGTAATATATTAAAGTTAATATTATTTTAATTAATATAAATATATTATAATGAGAGTTTTCAATTCTTTTGTTCTTCACAAAAAAATTTATTTAAATAATTAAGTTTGAATCTAACTTAATAATATTTTAACATGACTAATAGAATAAAATTAATGCAGTAAAACTTTATTAAAACTAATATAACTAAAATTTATATAATTTATAACTAAACACATTAAATATTTGTTGAAAAAGGTTTCAAAATAATTTTAAAAAATTTCTTAATTATGAAATTTTTGTATTTTATAAGCATTTGGCTTACTTTGAGTTACAACATCTCTAACATTTTACAGTTTTTGATGAAAAACAAGTATGAATTTAAAATACTAATATAATATTGCAATTCAGAATTTTGTTTTGACAAAAATGATATTTAGAAACCTTTGTTTCGAAGGCCAAAACTTTGGAAATCATCATAAACAAGAAACAACTCAAATTGATTTAAATTTGTTTGTGATGATTTGTAAAGTTTTAATCTCTGAAACTTAGACTTTTAAAAATCATTTTTGCCAAAACAAAATTTTAAGTTGTAGTATTACATGTCTACTTTAAATTTGTATTTTCTTTTATCACTAGAAACTATAGGATGTTAGAGATTTTATGGCTTAAAGTAAGTCAAATGCTCAGAAAATGCGAAAATTTTAGAAGTAAGAAAATATTTTTTTAATTATTCTAAAAATTATTTTTCGTAAATATTTAAAGTATTTAGTTATAAATTATATAAATTTTAGTTATATTATTTTTAACAAAATTTTTACTTATTTTAATATATTTTTGCTGTAATAATTTCATGTTATTAGTTTTGTTAAAAGACTATTAAGTTAGATTTCAACTTAATTATTTAAATAAGTTTTTTTTTTGTGAAGAAAAAAATTGAAAGTTCTCATTATGATATTTTTATACTAATTCAAATAATATTAACTTTGATATATTAATTTAAATTATTAATATTATAATTAATTAATATAAATGACAATAATATTATAAATATGATATTATTAATAATTAATTATATATAATAAAAACTAATACATTAGAGGAGCTAAAATATTTTTAAAATTTAAATTTTGAAAAAATAAAAAAATAAAAAAATTTTAAATTTTATTTTATATTAGAGGGATTAAATTTCAAATTTCATGCAATTCATGCACTAAATTTCAAATTTTATGCGAATATAGGGACTATATTTTAAATTTTGTATGAGTATAGAGATCATTTACATAATTTAACAACTGATTTCACTAATTCCAATTGCCACATCAATCAGTCAATGCCATGTCAGCATGATCAATGGCACGTTAGCAACAACCATGTTTGCATGGTCAACGATCACATTAGCTATTTAGTGGAGATCAAATAATATTGTTATTAATTGGATCAACATTATTAAATTAAAGTAATATGAGAATATAATCTTTACAAATTATTTTATAGGGATTAAAGTTCAAATTTCATATTAGTACATTAACTAATTGCATGATTTGACCTAAGGTGGTTGCTATTTGTGCCCCAACATTTACTTAACACATCTCACTAATTTTAACACCTCATTTTTTTACTCATCACACCCCACACTTAAAACTAAAATTTACCAAAACACCATATCCCCTCTCCCTTACACCCTATTTACTCTCTCTTTTCTTAATTGTAAACTCTAAAAATTTGAAGCTACATATAAAGGAAAATTTATCCATTTGAAATTAGAAAAGCTTATAATCAGAGATAAATGTTTGTTCTTCATGTTTTTTCATTTTATTTCAATGCAATTTGAAGCTTTTGAAAATGGATTTTCAAAAACTCTAAAAGGTTTATGAAAATAAATGTTTGGAAGCCTTTAAAAGCTTTTGGAAATGGTTTTTCAAAAATTCTTAATGGCTTCTAGACATCCATTTTCGAAGAGTAACTTACTCGATCATCATATTCAAATCTTCATTACTATAGTTATTTCTCTCAAATTTACTTTTCATTTTGGCAATATACAAGATATTACAAATCAAAATCCAAATTGATTTATATAACTCAAATCTTCATGTAATGTGCAAAAATCAAGCCTTTTAGATCATTCATGAACTCAAAATAGACATATTCAGTATTTATATATATTCAAACAAAATCAAAATCCTAATTTTCTAAGAAAAGATTTTGAATTTTTACTAGACACTTTGCAGTTGTCAAAAAAATTGCACAAATGGTAACTTTGAAAATTCACTATAATTCGTACTTAATGAATTAGGTGATGGATTTTATATGGATAGAAAGCCCTTTAAGTTTAGTTTCTAAATCTTCAAACGGTTTGTGATTTAGATTTATATAACTCAAGATATGATCAAATTAGTGAGTAGAGTGCAAAATATGAGACAACCACCCAACCATTGACATGATCGATCCCCTCATGGAAGGGATCGATCAGGTCATGTTTTTTAAGCATGAAATGACATAAATTTTGAACCAATCGATCCCTCAAGGAAGGGATCGATCGAGTCTAGGCAGAATCACACCAACGGCTATTTTTTCATACTTTTAACGGCTATTTTCTTCTCCTAAGCATCCCCAACGGCTACTCCTTCAATTTCTTTATAAACTGGGTACTCTAACACACCAAGAAGATTGATGAATCAAGAGAGTAAGAGCCAATAAGTCATATTTTCATTCTCTCAAATAATCAAGAGTTTTTAGAGTTTTAAAGTCCATATCTTTGTATTTATTGTATCCAAATTATATTTATTGTTCATTCATCATTTTTTTGTACTTAAGCTTAGCAAACACTCAGCCTTAGAGAAATTGTTCTATTGTTTGCAAAATTACCTTTGATATATAAGGGTGGAAGAGAACAAGAGGTGAGGTATATCTCTTGATATTATAAGGGTAGATGTTGCTATTTAAGCCTTGAGAAAAATATAGAGATTTAGTATAAGATAAGTTTGTATCTTGTAAGAATTTTTCTTCAATTAATGGATTAAAGCTTTGGTGTAGACAATCAAAGAGAGAAGACGTAGGTGCCTTGTGGAGAAGAATCAAACTTTTATAAATCATTGTATTTGATTTCTCTATCCCTATCTCCTTATAATTTATTATTGCTTATATTTGATTTTAAGTTAATTAATTATTATTATTAGTATTATATTTTCATAAAAAGTGTTTATTGTTTTAATTGTTATTCAATTATATTAAAATAATTTGTTTGAGAAAAATTTTAAAAAATCTAATTCACCATTTTTTTAAATTATCATCTCACATATAAAGCTAACAATAATAATAATAATATATTAAGAGAAATTATGTGGGGTGAACTGTGAAGATTAACTTCAAAATTACCGCCCTATAAATTTAACAAGGGGTAAAATAGTAAATGACTTAAAAAATTCACGGAGGAAAAAAAAAATAACAAAAGTCAGCCTTTCGGGGGAATTTAAGTTGCATTTAGAGCTAATTTCGGGTCCGTGTTCGAATCGAAAAACCCCCAACCCCCAAGAAAATAGAAGCAACGAGGAAAGAAGGGAACCCAGAGCCAGAATACCCTCTTTTTCTCTCTTTCTTTCTATCTATTTGTGCTTCGTTATCCACTGTGGAAGCCCATGACCTAGGAATGGCGCAGAAGCTGGAACAGCACATCAAGGACCTGGGATCCCAGCTGGAGTCTCCTCCTTCCACCAAGGACGCTCTTCTCAAGCTCTTAAAGGCACGCATTCTTCCTATTTTCCCTGTCTCCTTATCATAAACTTTTTTTCTTTTCCGGCTATTTTAGCCCTTTTCTTAGGGTCCTTAACAAAGGAAACAGAAAATCAGACACACACTAAAACATACTACCAGTACACTACATTATTTTCTGTTAGTCTGTCTTTGTTTAACATGCACGCCTGGAGAGCTACGGCAAGTTGAAAGAAAGCTAATAAACCTCAGCTGCCCTTTCCTTCGTTGTGTTCTGTTTGTTCTCCAATTTGATTATTAATTCGACTGACCTTCCTACTTGCTCTAGGGTTTCTTCAAACTAACCTTTTTTCCCCTTAGGATTTTAGGTTTTAAGGGTATAATGGAGTGTTTTCATGAATTAGCTCTCTTAGAGGAAGTCAGTTCATAATTGGATGCGAGTTTCAATAAATTTGGTTGAATTAGGGCAGTTTCACAATTCACTAGGTTTCTCCTTAGTTAAATGTTTTTCCATAAAATTCAACCTAACTTGAGTTTTCCACTTGTATTTTATACCCTTGAATTTGCTACATGACAATATGATATCAATTGTGGTCCGCCATTGTTTCATTAAATTCAGGCTATGGTAATTGGGTTAGGATGTTGTCTTGCTCTAGCATCAATTAATTGTATCTCCAAATATGTTTTTCTATCAGACCAATGGTTCCCCAATGTGTTGAATGAGGACCTAAATCAACGGCGATGTGCTATGCCTGGAGCCCTGGACAGCGTTTGACTTTATGTTTTTCAAGAGTGAATCTGAATTGTTACCATAATAAGTGCAATAAATGCAGTAACAGAGTCCTATAATGTCACCCATGCATGACAATGATAGATAACCTGTTCCAGACTTAAAGAACATTAGTATGTCACAAATCTTTGGCTTTGAGTACCCTTTATGGTCCCCCCCCCCCCCCCCAATTTTCATAACACAGCAAAGAATATATGCTAGGGGGTCGGTCTTAGTTTGGAATTATCATTGTGGTTGAAAAGGGCTTTAGCGCACATAATCAACCTTGAAAAAAATTAACATAGATTTGGGATTAGTTGGCATTGGCTACATTAATCAAATTTCTCCATTCTGACCGGTTGAGGGCTATACCCTTACAAAGATTTACGGAAGCTAACTAATCTTTAATGATGTCAACCCATGTAAAATGTTTTCTTACCCTCCCGTCCTCTTTTTTTTTTACTCAGATTAAATTTCTTTTGCACACTGAAGCATCAAGTTGTCCTTCCTTTTGTTTTTGAATGATTGATTATGTTTCCATTGATAAAACAAATCCCTGTCAATGAAGAAGTAGTTAGGTTACTAAAAGCAGCAGTAAATAGCTATTAAAGAATTTCTTGTCTTAACTGGACATAGGGCAGAGTGATTTTGTTGAATGTGAATTGGTTTTGTTATTGTAGTACATGGTGCTTGGGATCTCTAATGGTGAACTTATTAGTTTGTTAATGAGCCGAGGAGGCATCTTGTATGCATGAAAGAAATGGAAGTTCTTTTATGTTGGTTGACTTGAATTCACTGGTGGTTAAGTGGAAAGTTGAGATGCTTTTATCCATGAGTTTGTTTGAATTATGGATTTTGCATTTTATTTTTCCAAAACTGTTTTAAAGGCCTGATAAGGACAGTGGCAAAATATGTATTGCTATGTAGTGATGCTGTAGAGAAACCAGTACCTGTGGTCTCGGAGGAGTATGTAAAAATAGAGTTTCTCTTTAGTTTGAAGTCTATTACAAATAAAACATGGATCTCATTGGACTATTAAATTTAATATTTTAGAATATTATGGCTGTTAGATTGTCCTTTGCTGATATCTAAAAATAGTCCACGTGCTTCCACCATCCCTTTTTCCTTTCTTCTCTTTCATTTGGGGGTTGGGTGTGCTAAATCCTATAATTTTTCTGCAGCCACCTAGTATTTAGGTTGATTATAGCTCAGCCATTTGAAACTGTGTCACTCATTGTTTCCATTTGGCCTGTAGACATTTATTTTATACTATGGTTTGAGAATTAGAAGCTTCCTTTTGCTAAAACCATCCAAATGTTCTCAATGTGTTGTAAAGCTGTTTTTTTCTGTTTTCTTTTATTATTTGCCTATTTTTATTGATATTTCAATATCATTCTTTATCATGTTATTGACACATAACTGGCATTGGACCTATGTGCCAAGAAAAATGGGTATGTGGTAAGATATACTGTTTCATAATGCTCACACATCTTGTTAGATGCTTGAATTTATATATTTTATGCTTATCAAAGTCGGATGCACTTGGTTATTTAGTATATATTGTCAATATTTTGTCCTCTAATCTGCAGCAAGCTGCTACATGTCTTTCTGAGCTTGATCAATCTCCACCATCTTCAATAATGGAATCAATGCAACCCTTACTTAATGCAATTGTCAAGCCAGAACTGCTGAAGCATCAAGATAGGGATGTGAAACTTCTAGTTGCCACCTGTATTTGTGAGATAACTCGGATAACTGCACCTGAAGTGCCTTATAGTGATGACATTCTAAAGGTTGTTTTCTTTTATGAAGGTTGACTGATTGTTGTCATGATTTTCTTATAAACTAATAAATTTTCAACTGAACTCCTGTGCAATCGATATGTTGCATGCTTGCAGGATATTTTTCACTTGATTGTTGGCACTTTTAATGGGCTGAGCGATACCAGTGGTCCATCATTTGGAAGGAGAGTTGTCATTTTGGAGACTCTTGCGAAATATAGATCATGTGTTGTGATGTTGGATCTTGAATGTGATGATTTGGTGAATGAAATGTTCACTACATTTTTTGCTGTTGTCAGGTGTGTTTTATTCCAGTTTTCATTTATTTACTTTTTTGAGGAAAGTGCTTGTATTGAGGGTGCCATTTACTCATTACTACTATTCACCTAAGCAATTTCTGTTGCATGCATACAGAAAATGCTTTTAATTAATATTGAATGGTAAAAATTAGACATGGCTGTTATTTATATGATATGGTACAACATGATATCATTCTTAGTGTTTGGCTTCCCTGTGATGGCCAAGATATGACTGCAACCTCTTTGTTCTTGTATGTATCTTGACCATAGAATAATACATCTGAACATATATGCACTTTTGTCTTGTGGTTGGATATGTGAATGTTTCATCTCCCCTTCAATTGTGTTCATCTTCCCTTAAATTGTGTTTACACTGGGAATCTGCGGGAGAAATAGAGTGGTCAATAGTTTTTTACAGTGTTTTCTGTGACATTTTATAATTATCATGGATCAAAGGAATGATTTTTACCACATATTGCAGGGATGATCATTCAGAAAGTGTTTTCTCATCCATGCAAACAATCATGATTGTTGTGTTAGAAGAGAGTGAAGATGTTCGAGAGGATCTGTTACTTATTATATTGTCTGCATTAGGCCGTAATAAAAGTGTAAGAAATTTCTTGTTTGATATCTTCTTGTTGCTTACAAATCATATTGCTGCCTCTATATATTCCTTAGAAGTTATAATTCTTAATTGGAAGGGAATTTATTTCTGGAGTCTATAATCACAGGATGTTACTGCAGCTGCAAGGAGACTTGCTATGAATGTCATAGAGCAGTGTTCAGGAAAACTAGAAGCTGGCATAAAACAGTTTCTTATATCATTGATGTCCAGAGATAATCATTTAGTAAATAGTAAAATTGACTACCATGAAGTTATCTATGATGTTTATCATTGCGCTCCTCAGATACTATCAGGAGTTGTACCATACCTCACAGGAGAGCTGTTGGTAAGAACATTTTAATAATCATTCTTTTTTCATTTCTACTAATTACCCAACTGTTTAAAGATTTTGTTCGCCGTGTGAAGACATATTCCTTTTATGTTATAAGAATTTTTGATATGCTAAAATAATTCTTATAATGCTTTTGAGAATGAAGTGTTTGTAGTTGTAGTGTTTGGGTTCATCTTTTGCAGTATGAGGGACTTTGTTTTCTATTATGGATTTGTCATAGTTTTAATCTTATTTTGAGAAGATGAGGTCAAAGATGAAATATTTGTAAGGTGTATAAGTTCCAATATCTGCAGACTGATCAATTAGACACTCGTTTGAAAGCTGTGAGATTGGTTGGAGACCTCTTTGCTCTGCCAGGCTCAACTATATGTGAAGCATTTCAGCCAATATTTTCAGAATTTTTGAAAAGGTTGACTGATAGAGTTGTTGGCATTCGAATGTCTGTCCTTGAACATGTTAAGAGCTGTCTGTTGTTGGATCCCTCCAGATCTGAGGCTCCTCAAATTATCTGTAAGTTTCTTTTCGGTTTTTACATATTTATTTGAGTGTTCATTTCTTAATTTTCGTCTTGTTCTACATTTTCTAGCTGCCCTCTGTGATCGACTGTTAGACTATGATGAAAATGTTCGAAAGCAAGTTGTGGCTGTAATTTGTGATGTTGCTTGTCATTCTCTTGTTTCTGTTCCTGTTGAGACAGTAAAACTAGTCGCGGAGCGTCTTCGAGACAAATCTGTATGTTCATTTTACCTGTATTTCTTTGACTTCTTTTGTTACCCCTTGTGTATCCATTGATCATTATCTATGGCATTTGACTTTTTCTTTTGTTTGGAATTTACAGCTGCTGGTTAAAAAATATACTATGGAAAGGCTGGCTGAGATATTCAGAGTTTATTGTGCTAGCTGCTCTGATGGCTCAATCAATCCCGATGAATTTTATTGGATTCCTGGGAAGATTTTTAGGTGTTTTTATGACAAAGATTTTAGGCAAGTCATATTAGATATCTTGCTACCCTGGAATATTTTAGCACTTGCTTAAAAATTTATCTTATTTATCTTTGTTTTTCTGTACTATTCAAAGTTTAGAGGCTAGTTAGTTAATATATTTAGATCTCTCAAATATTAAGCAAGTTTGGTAGATGTAAGAAGGGATTGTATAAACTTAGCTTTGGAGGTATGCTCTATGCTGTATCTTTAACTTTTCATTAATCTTCTCCAAATAATATCTTCAGTTAAAGCCATGCAAAGTAATTGAAAATCCTGTTCGTATAAATTGGCTTAGCATAATTATTTAATTTTTTTTTCTTGTTGACTATGCACCTTAGTGAAAATTCTTTTTCCTATTAGTAAAATCTTGAAATATTGTGGTGCAATGTAGAAGATTTAAAGTGTTTTCTGCTACAACTCTTTCTTGGATGTGTATTTGGCACAATCATGGCATTTTGTAATGCGTAGCTCTGCCCTGCAGGTTAGATACAATTGAATCTGTTTTATGTGGGTTCCTCTTTCCTACTGAGTTCTCAATCAGAGATAAAGTTAAATGTTGGATAAGGGTTTTCTCTGGGTTTGACAAAATTGAGGTGAAGGCACTTGAGAGGATGCTGGAGCAGAAGCAAAGGTATCTTGTAAATGCTTTGATACATGGCTTTTGAGTAATGTTCCCTTTTCAATTATGTATTTAATGGATTGTAAACTGATTTTCAGGGGATTTCCTATTGGATTGCAGGTTACAGCAAGAGATGCAGAAGTATCTCTCTCTAAGGCAGATGCATCAGGTTTGAAGTTTTGAATGACGAAATAGTATCCTAAGGAGCAGAAGTTAAAACTTCTATGAACTGTCAAACTTAAATAATTAGTTCTTATTCCAATGCAGGATAGCGATGCTCCTGAAATACAAAAGAAAGTTTTATTTGGCTTCCGAATCATGTCCCGCACTTTTTCTGATCCTTCAAAGGCTGAAGAGAGTTTTCAGATTCTTGATCAGTTGAAAGATGCTAACATCTGGAAGATTTTAATGAATCTACTGGATCCAAATACCAGCTTCCATCAAGCTTCTAGTGGCCGGGTAGGTTTTGACAAATGCAAATTAAATGGGATGTTGTAGAGAATGTCTTTGGATCCAAATCCACTTATCAGACCTTAGATATTAAAGGGTAATTAGAAAAGTTTATAGGATTTTCTACCTGGGAAGTCTAACTAACAATAATATGAAAGAAGAAAATTTAAAAGCAAACTAAATACTTCAATTCCATTGCTTTTCTTGCTCAAATGTCCGTATTAGCTTTGTGGCCATCCCTTTAACATCATTGTTATTTATGCTAGGACTGCCATCATTACTAGAGTGGCAACAAGCTGATGCTGCTGTATGTTATGACCCTCAATATCCTTCTGGTGCCATAATGCCACCATCACTAATTGACAACTTTAGGTATCATCCATAGTGTGACTGCGTTATGCAGATACCCATAATGTGACTGTTCAAAATCAGTAACATTTTTTTTTCTTCAAGAAAAAAAATTAAGAAAAAAAAAATCTACTGCTTCTGCCACTGCCTCGGTGAAGCTTTTCAATAGAGCATTCTCCTTAGCCTCTCAGTTATAATATTGTGGTTAAGTGGTAGCTTCTATCCTAGCAGTATTTTTGACAACTAACTTAACATGCTAGTTTAAGGATGAAGTCAACTTTTTGCAACTTTTGCTGTCACCCAATAATGGTGGCTGCCCTTTGTCGTAGCCCACCTTGTAGTTTATGTTCTTGTCTGCAGTGTTGCTCAGAGGTGAAATCTCTTTGAGTTTAGGGGAAAAATGAATTGTGATGAGTAGCTTGACCCATGGAATCTAATTTTGTACTTTTTAATTTTTTCATTTTACCAGTTATCTATGATATATTTTCGTAATTTGCAGGTTGATTTGCTTAAAATACTTGGTGAGAAGCACCGACTTTATGATTTTCTGAGTGCTCTCACTCTGAAGTGTTCTTATGTACTTTTTAACAAGGAGCATGTGAAAGAAATCCTTCTGGAGGCTACTGTACAGAAGTCTACTGGAAATACACAACACATTCAATCTTGCCTGAATATACTTGTGGTAATGATTGGTTTCTATAAAACTTGTTTCTCTGAGTGCGAGCAAGTGCAATTGTGCATGCATGTTGTTATTTGCCTTTGTGAGTGTCTGTCTTTTCCCGTGTTTGGTTACAATGTCATTAAGAGTTTGCAATGTTTAGTGTCTTCAATAATAGGTTCTATAAAGTCGTTTATGTTCTTTTTCTCTTAGAAACAGATTCAAGTTGTGTTTTTAAATGCCTTCTGGTGGATTTTCAGATCCTTGCACGCTTTAGTCCTTTGCTGCTGGGTGGAGCCGAAGAAGAACTGGTTAATTTTCTGAAAGATGACAATGAAATAATAAAAGAAGGCATTTTGCATGTTTTGGCCAATGCTGGTGTTACCATCCGAGAGCAACTTGCGTTGTCATCAAGGTGCAACTTTGGAATGCTTGACTTGTTAGAGTTAGTTCTTCATCCATATTCTTATTATCTTCCTAATGTTTGTTTGCAGTTCAATTGATCTTATATTGGAGAGGCTTTGTTTAGAAGGTAGTCGGAGACAAGCGAAGTATGCAGTGCATGCACTAGCAGCAATAACAAAGGATGATGGTCTCAAGTCCCTCTCTGTTCTATATAAGGTTACACAACACTTCATGCATTATCAGTTATATATTCAAAATGTGTTATTGTATTTTTTAAGATGTATAAATGTCATGTTCTTGATATATTTGCCTAACATTCAGTTTCATTACTCAATTTGCAGAGGCTTGTGGACATGCTGGAGGAAAGGACACATTTGCCTGCTGTACTCCAGTCTCTGGGATGTATAGCTCAGACTGCGATGCCTGTATTTGAAACTAGAGAGAGTGAAATTGGAGAATTTATTAAAAGCAAAATTTTGAGATGCAGTAATGTATGCCTTGTGAGATACAATATATGCTTCAATTCTTTTCTATTTGTGACGTATTTATTGATTTCCATGCATAAACCTTTTTCATTGCTTCAGAAAGCAGATGGCGGTGCAAAAGAATGTTGGGATGACAAAAGTGAACTTTGTCTGTTGAAGGTTTTGGATTGTAGTGATTTGTTATTTTTTTTCATTTAAGATAAAAGCAAATTTCATTCTTATCAGTATCTAGCAGAAAACTGAGTCCATTTTCTGTTTTTCATTTTCAAGGCTTTCTTGTTTTTATAAATTTCTTTATGATTTATCTCTGATCCTGCAATATTGTTTTTGAGCCACAGGTATTTGGGATAAAAACATTGGTCAAAAGCTACTTGCCTGTTAAAGATGCTCATCTTCGTCCTGCTATTGATGACCTTCTAGGACTCCTCAGAAATATACTTTCTTTTGGTGAAATATCAGAAGATATAGAATCAAGGTACCATAGCTGACATTGGTTTTTTTTTTAATGTACTAATATTTTGAGTGAATGTTGAACATCTTTTTGGATTTTGCTCAATTGGTTAGAATGTTTTGCTTGTTAAAGCTCAAATTTCATGCACAACTTGTACTGTCTTACAGTTCAGTTGATAAGGCCCATTTGAGGCTTGCTGCGGCCAAGGCAGTTCTTCGGCTCTCTCGGTGCTGGGATCATAAGATTCCTGTTGACGTCTTCCACTTAACCATCAGGACCCTAGAGGTGAAGTCATTTACAAAATATAAATTATTGATCTTGTTTTCTTTTAACTTTTCTTGTTAACCTTTCCTTTTCTCTTATGTTCTTTTCTGGTCTTCTAGATCTCCTTCCCTCAAGCTAGGAAACTATTCCTCAGCAAAGTTCATCAATACATAAAGGACCGGCTCTTGGATGCAAAATATGCTTGTGCTTTCTTATTTAGCATAACTGAATCCAAACTGCTTCATTGTGATGAGGTTTTCATGCTGAACTTGGTTTTTTTTAAGTGTGGTTTCATGTCCAATTTATTTTCTGGTTCCATCATGGCAAGATTTGTGAATTTTTCTGTTATTTTCCATTGTGTTTGAATTGGCAGGAAAAACAGAATTTAGCCGACATCTTTCAAATGTATCAGCAGGCAAAAGCTCGGCAGGTTGCTGTACAATCTGATACAAATTCCTCAACAGCATACCCTGAATACATCCTACCTTATTTGGTCCATGCTCTTGCTCATCTTTCATGTCCCAACATAGATGAATGCAAGGATGTCAAAGCATTTGAATTAATATACCGGTATATGCATTTCCTTCAATCTGTCTTAAATATGCTTTGAGATATAATTTCAGATGTTATGGTTTAAGTGGTGTTATCTAATGTCGGTTAAGTTGGAGGTTTTTCGGGCGTTGTCTTGAAGAGAGGCCTCTTCAACCAAGGCATCTAACTTTGAACCAATGGATAAGTAACAACTTGAGCTCTTTAACATGCTAAGGGATCCTATTTGAAGCTAATTGCAACAGGTTTCGAGGTCCAATCTTAAAATAATGTCATAGAAAACCTCAAATTTAACCACTGTGGTTATAGACATTTGAATAAATTAAGAAGATTAAAAATAAAAGAGGAAATCAACTTTTTATATCTATGTTCTGATGGATTAGCTGACTTTATATTGCCAGTTGCTATGAATCCTAAATACTAAATTTTATCTGTTGCCAGCTGCCACTGTTTTTGAGCCAGTCTTTATTGTGCTATTGCTTATCGTCACTGTAATCTAAATTTATAGATTTTGTAGTGATGGGGTAGGACTATTCTAAATGATTGGGTACTTTTTGTAGGTAGAAATAATTTCTTGGTAATTTGTATTTATTGAGAATATTTAGTCATTATCTATTCTGTATTTTTCAGGCAGTTGTACTTGACTATTTCTTTGTTGGTAAATAAAGATGAAGATACCAAGTCAGAAGCTGGTGTCAACGAGAAGGAAAGTATTTTTGTGATATTCTCTATCTTTCAGAGTATCAAGCATTCTGAAGACATTGTTGATGCAACAAAATCAAAGGTTCAGTGGGAAGTTTATATTCATATCAATAGTTACTATCATCCAACTTTACTATTCCTAAGTATAATTATTTAATAGGTTTGCAGTTCCACCTCTCTCCTGATCACGAGAAAAGTTAAAGTGCCCCTTCTTAAAAAAAAAAAAAATTTGAATAATAATAAATTTTTTTGTTTTTTCAGAATTCACATGCTATCTGTGACCTTGGACTTTCCATCATGAAGCGCCTGCTAGCATATAAGGAGGGGGATTTTGAGGGGCTTATACAGACAGTCTCTCTGCCTCCACTCCTCTACAAACCGTATGAAAGAAAAGAAGGTGAAGATTCCGAGGTAAGCCTTTAAATTTATTTGTCCCATTTTATCACATGTTTGCTCTTCCTCCATGGGAATATACAGTATCGAATTATCTGCAACTTTCTTACTGTAATTAGGCAGTGATAGGAAAAATTGTCTAGCTGTGGGGCTTTTACCATTTTACATGTACAATTATTAAGTTGAGAGATTGGATGTCAGCTATTAATTAAGTAATGTGTATAAGACCCAGTTTTGTATGTAGTTAACCCGCTTGTCAAATCACATGAGCTCAGTGCAAACCAGTTTTATGCTTCAACCTTGCAATAACGTGGTGCCAGCAGCATTGATTTGTTTCTTCATTTGATGCATACTTGGGCTATGTTTTTACTACAATATTGTTGATTATGGCTCTTGCATGTTTTTGATAGGTTGGTGAAAGGCAAACATGGTTAGCTGATGAGAGTGTCTTGTCTTACTTTGAATCCCTAAAGTTGGAATGGGATGCAACGGTGTGATATGCTTCCTTTCATTCTTATATAAGGTACTATATGGTGTATTTAGTGTTACATTGTTTATAACTTTTCCTGCTCCTCTGTTGATTACATTAGGCTCATACGGAGATTGCCGAGGAGGCTCTCAAAGATAGTGAAATAGATGGAAATGAAATGCCACTCAGAAAAATGATTAAGCGATTAAAATCTAAAGGAGCCAAGGGTGGAAGGGCAAAAAAGAACCGGTCTCTCTCAGCAGAAGCAAAAGATACTGAAAATGAAGTTGATATTTTGAAAATGGTGAGGGAAATAAATTTGGATAGTCTAGGGATGTCCAGTAAGTTTGAATCAAGCAATGGTCATAAACATTTTCCTACCAAGAAAGTGAAATTGGAGGAGGAGCATCAGGAAGGTAAAAAGAGAAAAGTCAGTGGTGCAGCTTCTGTCCCAGTGCCTAAACGTAGGAGGACATCATCTGCTCACGGTGCTTTCAAAATTTCAAGAAGTGCTTCTAAGGTCCCTTCAAGAGATTCAGGAGATGACAGGCATGAAGTTAAAGATTTTGCATTGCAATCTGCTGAAATGGACATTGATAAACTCCATGATTCAAAAGATAAAATGCCCATGCGCCACAAATTGAATGAGAACAATGAATCTGACTACTTGGTGTCTTGCATTCGGAAGAAAAGAAGCATCTCATCAAAAGGTAAAGGCAAAGGCTTAGATTGGGGTCATAGTGATGAAGGAGTCGAAGATGAAGCTGATGATGAAAATCTGGAGGTGTGTTTTTTTCCACTTGTTTAAATTCGCTGTCAGGGATGTACACATTTAATGTTCTCATGATGTCACTGTTGTGAATATCTGTTTTATAACTCCATGCAGAAGTTGGACACCACCACTGGTATTAAGTCTGCTGCTGGATCTAGCAAGAAGCAGAAGAGGGGCTTTGCAGGATTAGCAAAGGTCATTGTTTTTGCATCTTTTCCATTAAAATTACTGAGCTTTCATATGCAAAATGGCTAATACATTGGTATTTACAGCTAAATAAGGATGAAAACATAAATCCTGGTGGCATTTATAATGTGGTTTCTTTTGAGCAGGCCCCCTGCACTCTGCCTCTGAAATCTCCACTCTACTCCCCCCCCCCCCCTTCCTTTTCTGCCCTCTCTATGTATTGGCGTCATTTGCATGAGATTTTAAATGCTTTTGCTAAAATTACTCATGTTACAATATTTGGAAGTGCACTGTACACCTGTCACGGGTCGAGACTTAAGCTCCGAACCCGCGCGGCTCCGGGACCCGGGCATTCACCCTTTCGGCGTCCCGGATCAGCCTGACCGCCACGGTTCACACCCTTGTGAGGTATTGTCCGCTCTGACCCCCTTGGCCTCACGGTTTTGTCCTATAAAAGGCGCCTCACAAGGCGGAGATGGTGTGAACCCTTTTATACCCCAGTGACCCTCCTATTATGTTCGATGTGGGATTCAGGACTCCCCCTTAGGTCCGTGACATTCTCCCGCACCCAACCTCGTGACGCCCTTGTCACGGAGGCCGGCCACCCTGCCTACCTCCCTCGAGGCGCTCGGCGTGGATCGAACGGTTTAGGGCTGGCTCTGATACCAACTGTCACGGGTCGAGACTTAAGCTCCGAACCCGCGCGGCTCCGGGACCCGGGCATTCACCCTTTCGGCGTCCCGGATCAGCCTGACCGCCACGGTTCACCCCTTGCTTCTCTTTCTCACTCTCTTTGAGGTTGATATTTAGCAGAGTTGAATAGCATTTATATTCATGTACACCCACCTTATGGTGCATTTTCTCATTATATTTAGGCATTGTTACCCTATTAGTGTTCAACACATTTAGAAATGGCTTCTTTTTTTTTTCCCACTGTTCCAATCCCCTTGGTTACTCAAAGTTTTGAGCTCTTTGTTCATTATCTGATCTTCTTTGTTTCCCTTGTTCAGAGCTCAATGAAGAAAGATGAAGTTGATATTGCGGACTTGATTGGTTACAGAATAAAAGTATGGTGGCCAATGGATAAGCAGTGAGTCCCCAACTTTTACTGTTCTATTTACCATAATCCAAAAGCCCTGCTGTGAATTGTTCTGTGCATTAGATTGATTGTGAGTCTCAATTTCCTTCATTGTAATTCCCACTTTATTTATGGGGCATTCATGTTTTTGAGAATTCACATGAGGCTTCATTTGGTTACACTTGGAAATCTGGAAATGAGTTTGTGCTCTTGGTAGATCTGATATGGCCATTTCAACTTGCTCCCTGTCAAATTTGTAAATTCATCCTCTTTTTAGTTGTTTGACTGAGGGCCCAAATTTTATTTGAAACAATGTTCTGGTCTTACAGCAGCTTAAGGTTTTAATTTCATTTTCATATTTTGCTTGGACCATTGTGCTTATCCGGACAACTACAGTTTCCCTCTGACAGCCAAAAGTTTCTTGTTCCATTCAAATGCACTCCACATTGTTGGACGTGTTACCATTATTCAATTTGAACAGGTGCAATATCATTTTGCTTAACATCAATCTTCATGACTCGTGCTTGTACAGCAATGTAGGCTTTCTTACTGTCTTGTTTGAACATTGGAGACATTATTATGAACCTACTAAGGTTTTAATTTTGTTTAAAGAAAATATATTTCTTGAAAAAAATTCAATTACGAAGGTACTCTACTCATTGTATATTACTGCTGGAAATGACAGGTTTTATGAAGGAACAGTTAAGTCTTATGACCCTATAAAAAGGAAGCACGTGGTAAGCTGCACCTTCTTTCCTGCATGAATGCATATGTGCATGTTTGTGACACTTGGAACAAATTATTAATCATATGTTTTTCTTCTTATTAGGTATTATATGATGATGGAGATGTGGAAGTGCTACGCCTGGAAAGAGAGCGTTGGCAGCTCATTAATACTGACCTCAAGTCTGGAAAGGTTAAGACTTCACTCTTGCATTTTCTTTCAAGCTTAAATCATTTTAGTTTTCATTTGAGCTTAACTCTCCTATCTATTTTGCTTGCACTTTTTACAGAAAGCAAATTCATTGAAAGGCAGCAAGGGCCCTCTGAAGGAAGTGTATGTGCTAACCATTAATGCAGTATTAGATAATTCTCTTGTGAATCTCACCTTTGAGTGTAGTTGTGTGTGTTTCATTTCTACTTGGTAAAAATAAAAGAGAAAGAAAAAGATAAGCTACTCATATTGAGAGAGAATTCTTGTTTAAGTTAATCGCAACATGAATATCTCTTTTGGATTATGGCATTTGTTTTGAGGATGACTTGTGCACACATTTAGAAATTAACTCTTGTGTTGCTTCATAACTTGGTTGTTTTACGATTTACAGGTCTCCTGGGCAGAAAAGTAAGAGCTTAGGTGGTTCACGACAGAAAAAGAGTTCAGTAAAGATGTGAGTAACCGCAATCCAATATGAAGCTATTTGCCTTTCATTGAAATGCAAATTTAATTGGTATTTGATTTGCAGAGTTAAGGGGAAAAGAACTCCAAAGAAAAACTTGAAGCATGCTCAAAAGAGTTCGTTGAAAAGTAACTTTACTGGAGCTGAAGACGAAGAGAAGGCTGATGTGTCAAAATCGAAATCCACTGCTGCAAATAAAATTCATAAGGTGAACTCAGGTATTGTTCATTGATTTTCATAACTAATCTATTAGCTGTTTTAAACTTTCGATTTTGTGGAATATGGATTGCACTAGAAAGTTAGCATTCTTTTATTATCTTCTGTATCATTTAAATGAAGTGGATGTAACCTGATTTAATATCATTAGATTGAATGTTGCTCTATGAACATCTTTTATGGTTGCAAGCAAAATTATTTCTGGTAACATGTAGGATGTATCAATTGAAAAATTGAGGAACAAGTGTGAGATGGTGGGTCCTTATTTCTCATTCCCTTCCATTTAATTTCTTTAAATTTATATTGCTCTCCTTTTCCCAGATGAATCAGAAGGAGCAGACACCGAAATGGTAGATGAGAACTTAGCAGCTAGGGAACAATCTGAGAAGGAAGTGGCTTCAGTTTCCCAGGAGAGATGTTCAGAAGATACAAAGGGGAGCCCAAATCATGCTGATGGGAATCTTTCTGAAGATGTAGATAGCATTTCAGAAAATGCGCAAAAGGGGGATGAGGAAGAGAAACCAGCTGATGAATTAAGTGAAGACTCAAGAGATCCTTCTAGTAAAGCAACTGAATCGGAAGCCAAAGCGACTCAAGAAAGTGATAAGATTGAGAGTGAATCTCCAATTTTGAAGAAATTCTGGAAAGGAGCTTCATTGCCTTCAGTTGCCGTGGATTCAGGGATTTCTGATGATGAGCCCCTTGTAATAACATTTAGTGATGTGTTTATTAGAATATAATATTTGTCTTATATTATAATTTGATATATGTATTTTTTTTATATATCAAATGCAGAGTAAGTGGAAGCGGAAATCAGATTCCAAGCGAGTGCAGTAGCCAGGAGGGAGTTTGAACCTCAAAAGCAGTCGTGCAGTGCTTTGTAGAAGTGGGAAACAAGTGGCGCTGTGTCAGATCAAGTCTCAGAAAGAACCTAACAGATCGCAGAAGATGAGGGTCATTTGAATCAGACTCTATGTAAACATAAACATAGTAATAAATGTCCGAGTAGGTGCCCTAGACTAGAACCGTGTAGAGCGAATGTACTGTAAAAATAACTGTAGGCATTAGGGGGAAATTGTTGGTGCTTGTCAGAGAATTGGGGCAAGGATGAATGGTGTAGCTGACCAGGGGTTCGCCGGTAGATGGTAGAAGATTGCAAGGTGTAGTTTGGATCTCACCATGAGCTACAAAGATAGATAAATAGATAGATAGATAGGTCACGAGTAGAGCTAGTTATATTTTGGAATTTGGGGATAGTTTTTTAAGTTGAAATAATTTGGTTCAAACACCTAACATAACATCCATATCACATTGATTATTATTTCACCGTCGTCTGCTGGCTAGCTGTTGGGTGTGGCAACACTTAATTGTTTGTATTATTGTGTCTAAATTAAAAATGCTACAATTGAAGTATTTATGTGTGAATGCAAGGTCATAAACAAAAAAAAAAAAAAAAAGTCATCTTAGCTTATGATGATGGGTTGTGAATATGAAATTGCGTTTCATCTTTGAGAGTTCAATCAGACTGTTAGAAAGAATGAAATATGTGTTCATCGAAACTCGTCTAAGAGTGACGAAGGGGTGCGCCAACAGTTGCGTCTCGATTTGTTATTCAATAGCTGATGACTGAAGTTAGGGTATTGGACTAAGTCTTGGATAGGCTGCAGTACTACTACAAGCAAATCTAGGAACATCATCTTCCAACTTCCAGGGTACTCCTATATTAGATCAAACCTAAAGGTAGCCCGCATGCCAAAAAAAAAAAAAAAAAAAAGGTTTGAACTATTGTCATAGAGTGGATGGCGGTGTAATCTAAGGTCGTAAACAGCAAAAAAAAAAAAAAAAAAAAAAAAAAGTGGAAATATTATAGAGGAAAAAGAAATACATTTTATTTACGCAAAGAAATCGTAAAAGAGAAAGTCAGGTTCAAACTCAAAGTCAAAATATCGGAAGGACGGAAGGAAAGAATGGGATTTGAGAAACAACAATGAGATATTTGGTCCGCTAAATTTTAAATTTAAAAAAATATGTGATTCCTGATAAAGTATTAATTTTAAATGATTTTGCATAACATGAGATTGTTAAATTTTTTTTATTTGATAGGGAGGAAATTCATATTATTTAATAAAATATTTTTATTATAATATTTTTCATTACATAAAAAACATAACATATTTGTTAAAAATAAATGCAGTATTTGATTAAAATAATATGAAATCAAATATTGAAAAAAGTATATATCTTTAAACAAATAATCCAAATTTTTTTTTCACAATTATTATGTTTGAAATCTAAAAACGCAAAGTGTAAAATTATAAAAAAAAAAAAATTCAATATCTGTGTTTATCTTACAAGAAACACAGTAAATAATCAATAATTATTATATTTCAAAATCTCAAAACGCATTGAAAAAAAAATACACGTTTTCATGTCTCACATGTAGTATTATGGTAAAAAATTATTAAAAAATTTTTTTAAAGAAAATTACGTTTTTATTAAAAAAATTACAGTAAATGTGCTTTATTTTAAAATAATAATAATAAAAAAAACAATGTTCATTTCACCGAAGACTCCCCGTGGAAACTTCTCGCATTCACACGGGCCTTGACATTCTATTCAAAGTTAAAGAGTAGAAGCTACAAATTAAACACTAAAATAAATGGAGCATGGATGGAATAGGATTAATTTAGAATCTCTCTTGAATGTTGTTCGTTCATTCGCCGTTAAAATAACTTTAAGACAAAAATAATCCTAGTTGAAGGGGATTGGACTAATGATTATCAATGAAAATTATTGAATTTTTATCAGTCAAAGTACCTTCAGTTTTATGGGTCTGAAGCTAAACCACACTGCAGAGAACACTCAAAAGTCTGAAATCAAATGTTACATTACCACTGCAGTAGTCAAATACTGCATTTTTATTCTAAAAAATTGCATACAATAATTATAATTACTGCATTTTAAAGTTGCCAAATGCAGCATTCCAGTGGTTAAAAGGTCAAAGTTTTAGAAGTTATTAATTATTATATTTTTATTCAAAAAAAAGTAATAAATAATAATTATTATTGTGCTTTAAAGAATTCAAATGAAAAAAAAATAGTATTTAGTATAATTCGAATATTATGTTTTTGTTAAAATAAATGTGATAAATAATACTAATTATTGCGTTATAAAGCATAAAAATACAGTATTTTAATTTAAAAAATTAATCATAATTATTATGTTTGTTAAAAATAAAAAAAATCTTTTCATATGTTAATTTTTTAAAAAAATAAAAACATATATATTTTATTCAAATCAAATATGAGATAAAACTAATTTTTTAACTAATTTTTTTTAATTTAAAAAATCACAAAAAAATTGAATTTTTGATCCTGAAACTTTAATTACGATTGAAAATTTAAAATTATCTCAAAAATTAGATTCTCCTTTATTAAATGTGAAAATTTAGATACCTAGCAGCAATATTTTAAGAAAAAACCTTTGATTCCTCAAGTAAAACGCCCTTTAAGGTCAAGGTCCAGGAGTGAACACTATGAAAAAACCTGACCAACATGTGCCGGTGACACTGCCGCATTTTTCACGTTCAAGACTAGACTATATATAAATATAAATATATATAATATATATATTTCAGATCACTAATCATGTCTGTGCCCGTGTCTGCCGGTGGATTTGATTTTTTTTTTTTTTTTTTGTTTTCTGTTTTCACTGTGAGAGTTTCAAATTGGTTGGGTATTTCTTAGGGCAACAACCAATAAATATTATTGTATCCCTTATATTGCCTAATTAGTTAGTGATTTTTCTTTATACTACTACTAAATACTAAAAGTATAGATTCCGTGTCTTCCTTCCCTGTCTGTAATTTAAGTTTAAGCAGAAGCTTCATCGGCCCCGCGTACCACCCCTTCCTCACCAGCAAAAATAAAAGAAAAAAGGTTCTCTCTCTCTCTCTCTCTGGACATGTTTTGGCAATTTGCATATGTTTGATGGTTTTGTTTCCTTTTTTTCTCTTTGTTTTTCTCATTTCTCCCTCTCCATTTCACAAACCACAACCCCATTCAACGATTTCTTGTCTTTTTCATGATTTTTGCATAGCCTTTCCTTTTTCTCTTTTTTGGGTGTCTGCAGTTTGGGCTATCATTTGCTATGTCTATATGATGCTATGCTTATCCTTTGGCTTTTCTTGCAAATTATGGATTTCTCATTTCTGGGTTTCACCCTTTCTCTGTTTCTGGGATAATTCCTTATTCATTGTCAAATTCAACATCATTTTTCTCATGGATTCTGTTTTCTTGCTTCCGAATTTGGTTCTTTGAAGTGATTTGTTCCTTTTTGTAGTTTCTGCTATTATACAATTGAAAGAATGGGGGAGATGTTGGGACTGCTAAAAGTGGTGGTTGTGCAAGGTAAAAGGTTGGTTATCCGGGATTTCAAGAGCAGTGATCCTTATGTTGTAGTCAAGCTCGGTGATCAGGTTTGTTTAGCCTCCTTTTATTTTTGCTTTTACCATATTTGTCAATGTCCTGTACTTTTGTTATTTTTCCTTGAGTCAGTACACTCTTTTGCTTTGCTGATGTAATGTCCTGCAAAATTGATCATATTCAACAATTCTCAGTGAGCCTTTATCCTCAGAGAATTTACATAACTCATGTTTTGCGTTGGCAATGCTATGTCTCTTTAGTTCGCCCCACTATCCTGCATCAAAAGTAAATGTTTTGTGTCGCTCTACGTATTTTGAACTGATATTAAAAGAAAATATAGGGACACAGAGAGCCATGTGATTTACTCTTTTCTCTCATGTTTTTATCGGCCATAAAGACAGTTGGATTCTTTATTGTTTCTAGCAAAATGGGCCAATTTCTTTGTGCCAATTTGTTGTGACAAAGGCTTTGCAACTATAGGCAGGCAGCATTTTTATGCCCGGACAATCTTTTCTTTCACCTTTGCATTTGATTGCTCGTACAAGATTTTTGTGTTTCATTTACTTATATATTTAGTAATTTTCTCTCACCGTTGGAAATTTTGAACCAACTTGTGTCTTCTACTCTAGGTGGCAAAGACTAAGGTCATCAACAGTTGCCTTAATCCAGTATGGAATGAAGAGCTCACTTTCTCCCTCACTGACCCTGTTGGAGTTTTAAATTTGGTAATTTTATAATATTTGTACTAAAAAGTGTCTTGTTCAACATGTTTGATTGCCTATCTTATCAAAACCTATTATAGGAAGTTAGGAACTACTTTTTGTTCCTTATTATAGGAACTATAATTCTTTGATCTGCAACATTTCATTTGTTCTGACCTTTGCCAGGTTTGTAAGGTTTCTGATCCCTAGTTACCATATTCAAGCTGGTTTGATTAGAATCCTTGTATTTGCATTCCACCTTCCCTTTTCTTTTGAAGCTTTTGCTTTTGGTTTACCTTTTGCTTTATGGTCTACCATTGTCTACATCTAAATATCCATTTGCCTGTGTATGTTAGAGTTTTATCTATATTTGCTGAGTGTTGCTGAGTTAAATGTTATTAGGCCACATGGAAAAGGTACAAAATTTGAGAAATTTAGTACCTGGAGATTCCCCTAAATAGTAAGAGATATTGGAAGTTTTGGTAACTTGTTGATTTCAAATGCTTTCGACTACATTCTGTTTACTAATAGTTTTCAAATGTTATCTTAGTTTCATTGTGAAGCAGACAACCTTCAGCATGTAGTAATGTTATATTGTTTTTGGTTCCATACTTTCATTATAAAGGAAACTGGATTATTTCAGCCATAACTCATGGCTTGTAGTTGATGTTGTTGTTTGTCTTTCTTTTTTTTTTTTTTTTAAATTATCATAGTTATATATGGCTTATGAAACAATTTGGAAGATACTAATGAAATAGTTAGTAAAAATAGGTTTTTATGAAGAATTGACCAAAAATGCATTTTCTGCAGGAAGTATTTGACAAAGACCGTTTCAAGGCTGATGATAAGATGGGACATGCTTATCTAAACCTTCAGCCACTTGTCTCTGCTGCTAGATTGAGGCATGTTGTACGAGTTTCTTCTGGTGAGATGACGTTAAGGAAGGTTGTCCCTGACATTGATAATTGTCTTGTTACAGACAGTTGTATTAGCTGTATAAATGGTGAAGTAGTTCAGAGTGCTTGGTTAAGGCTTTGTGCAGTTGAGTCTGGGGAGATAGAACTGAAGGTCAGGTTAATTGAGACTTGTGATGGACCTTCAAGATAGATGAGCTATATATGTGCTGAGGAGATAGTGTTTGGGCTCTGGTAGTGCTTGGGTTTCATCGTGTATCTTTGGAACCAACAAGGGTGGGGGGATGATTCTGCAGAATTTAATTAAGGTGAGTCAGGGCATATGCTTTGAATGTCACCGGAGTCTAGTTTTATCGAGCAGCTCTGAATGTAGATAAGTAGTGTATCATCTTCGGTAATCAGAAAAAAGAAAGGTGGTTTCAAACAAATGTTTCCGCTGGAATCGAAAGTAGTTTGTATAACCCTTGATTATAATCATATGGGATTGGATTCGTAAATGCACAATTGTTGTGTATATGCTTTTGCAGTGTGGTATTCAGCAATTGGTTGTTTTGTTTAAATGGCGGCTCAAGTTTTATACTATATCATGTCAATGGTAAGGAGTAGGAATTGGAGATGTACTTTTAGCTCCAATATATATCAATAGATTTTGCATGCATCCCTAATTGGCGTTTGGTCGTGGAATGTTGGATTTCGGAGGAAAATATGTTATCCGGGAAAGTATGATCTTCATGGGAAAGTAAGATTTTTATAACATCCTGTTTTTAGATTCATGCGTTTAGTCCAAGGAATTTGAGTTTATTAAATCATGTATTTTTATAATAATATCAATTATATTATATAATTATTTTTTAAAAAAATAAAAATAAATGATAAATATTTTTAACTAAAATTTTAAAAATGTTATTATTTATAATTATTAAATAATTATATCAATAATTTATCATCAACAAAATTAATATTGAATTTTTAAATTCAATTATGAAATAAAATTAAATTTGAAACACACTAAATATGAATGTCAAATGATTTTTAATACTATTCTTATTATATTTACAAATAAAAAATAAAAAGTAATATTGTTAATTTAAAATTTAATTTCGTTACAAAAATAATCATTTACAATATATTATTGATTTATTATATTTATTGTATTTTAATTTTAATTTTAATTTTAATATAACAATAATTCAAATATAAAAAGTTATATTATAATTTTAATATTTGATTGAATTTGATATTTTTAGAAAAACATTAATACCATTATTAGCAAAATCAATTTTAAAATTTATTTTTCTTACTGTTTCAAACATATTAAAATATTAAATTTATTTGAAAATAAAATATTATCTTATAAATTAGAACATTCATTTTTAAAATTGAATACGAAGGCGAAAAAGAGTTGAATAACGATTCACTTGAGAATTAAGAGTTAGGATATGATGTTGGTTTTGAGAATTTTTGGTTGGAGGGGATTGTGAAATTGGAAATGCCACCACTTTTTTATTTTTGTTATTTTTTTCACATTTTTTACCTTTTTATTTTAATATCAAATAAAAAGAAATTTTATTTAATTTGATTTCTAATTGATTTGTTAATATATATTATAAGTAAAATTAAGGTTAAGATAGAATTAATTATTATCAATAGTTAATTAAAGTATAATTTAGAAGTATATTATATTAGTAATAATTTTAAAACAATTAATTTTTATAGTTAATTGATATTAAGATTAACTATATTTAAATAACTGCATTCATTAAATTTAGAGTTATTAGTATTATATTAATTAATTTAATATTATCCACTATTTAACATTTTAATTGGCGGTGTATATCCAATATTATTATATTTATGTTAATATTAAAATGATGAAATTAGAGCTCTTTTTAATAATGTTTATTATTAAACTTTTATGAAATTTGGTCAATTGATGTATATGAATAAATCCAAAGTTATTATGTTAAAGTGTGCATATGATTTTTTTTAATTCAACATTCTAATGGAATATTTGATTAATTATTATATATGATTATTTTAATGTGGTAATATTCATATAATAATTTATATATAAACTAAAAACAAAATAGATGTATGGTTGAACTAATTAATTGACAAATTATTCATATTAAATAGTTTTTTGTAAATGATAATTGATACCTTTTAATAATGTTTGCTATTTAGCATTATAATTGGATAATTAGTAATTGATGAATATTCCTAATCTAATGTTAATTTCAAAATGATTAAATATTAAAATTAGATCAATGCTATAGCAATTAATTTGTACGTATAATGATTTTTCAAAATTTGTAAGTATTGATTATTAAGATTAAATCAATTAATAGATAATCTTTTAATGTTTAGTATTCATCATTTTAATTGAACATTTACTTAAGTAGTATATATGATTAGATCTAATGCAATTATGTCAACATTTCATTTATTTTCAAACCAAAAAAAAAAAAAAAAACAAAATAAACGTAAAAAAAAAAAATTCTTGGAGATTTAAAATATTTGTTAATTAATCATGATATAATGATTAAAAAAATTAATAAAATAAAATAAAATTGAAAATGTCTGAAAATATCTAAATAAAAAAAAACCAATACAAATTCGAAAAAAATAAAAATCCAAATTATTCCAATCGAAGCAACCCAAAACAAATAAGCTTGAACCTACTTGTTTGTCACCTCTATTCCATCCTCCTTTTCATATTTTCATATATACAAAATACTTCCAACTTTACTAGACAAGATTTGAGTCGGTTGTTGCCTTGTCTGAGTGCTACCTGCTTCCACGAGTTTGTTGAACGCGAACCCTAACCCCAACGACAACGCTAAAAAGACCCAGAGAATCAATCTTGGAAACGGAAGTGAACAACTCCACGTGCCCAGTTTTGTAGCCTACGATGATGCCTGGAAATTCTTCAATTACACGACAATCACATTAGCCCACCCTTCGCGTCTTTGGTATTTATTGCTTCTATACGCACATATATATATATATATATGTATATTATAATTTCCGTAATTTTTTATTTTTTATTTTTATTTTTTGAGATGTGGATTGTGGGGCAGAGTTTGCAGTTTTCTTGGTTTCTCAGCTCAAGCAATCTTTACATATTCTTTTAGCCACTAATTCATGATTACTCGTATAGCGTATTTGATGACGAAAGAGGTGTTTCTTAACTGTGTAACTTTAAATTATTGACGGCATGCCACGACCACTTTAATTTCTATTTCTACACATTATTTGATTGTTTGGGTTTGGTTGTTTGTTATCTGCTTTTAGAAATAGAGAATGACAATTTCTATCACAGGTGGCAGTGTGCTTACATTTCTTACGCTAAAGTAACGAGGTCGTGCGACACTAAGATCATTTTTAGTTGAGGTCAGTATTATCTAAGTTCCTTTTTTCTTAAGAACAACTCATAATAGCGATCCTCGTAGCGCATGATAGCCTTTTCTTGATTTGTTCTGCGGGGTCGTCCGCAACATTCTAAAACCAACAGCTAGTTATCGGGAGATCTAGAGCACCCATCAAGTGCTAGCAAGCACTAGAGTTCCGAGTATCGACCTTTTAAGAAGTTGTGTGGATTACATAGCTCCGAAACTTATTAGAACATTTCATTTCGACATGGTAAGAACCTGACACCATACTCGCACGTATATTTCGCAGCACTTGTGCCTGGGACCTTAAGCCACAACTCGAAGGCTGGCTTGCAGCCAGCTAGGAGCCACCCAAAGGTCAATGTTATTACCCACAAAGGTCACACCTTTGGGTTATGCTCCATTGCCTCACAATAAGCTGTCCACACGCATGATGGACACTTAACATCATGTCTGCATTTTATCGAATACTTAGGTGTGCTGCCCCAGTAGCAGCACACTCTCACGCATGCTATCGAGACACCACATGAGTCTAACAGCTTACTTGCCTGCTAATTCTCTCGTCCCTCGAGTTCGTTGGTGTCTCTCCTATACAAGCATCAAACCATAATCTTTGGTTACTCATTAGTCGACTCATGGGAGAGAAACTGAGGAACATAGTGAATTTTAGTGCCCAATTCCACAATTCAACACACTAGGGTGATATGAGTCCCGTGGCCCTGATCGTCCGGGGTTTACCATGTCCCGATGAGATACTTGTGACCTACGATACTAGCTCTTCTAGTCACCACGTGTTTAGGAGTAACTCACTTTAGACTAGCGAGCTCCCACCTACCTTCTAGCCAAGGGAGTAGTGGAGAGCTGACACTGAACATCCTCCTATGAAAAACGTAAGAAATTTTAGAGCTATGCCGTCAGGTACTGTTAGAATGTTTAAAATGGAGACACTTTTCTCTCAAGTCAATCCAAAACTAACTCCAAAAAAACTATAAGCATGGAGATCTTTCTCTTGATCCCAATGATACTAAAATACACTTCGATGCTCTACCAACCCACTTGAACATGTCCGTACAAGACTTACCTGGGAGCGCCCACTAGGCTGTCAGACTCCAGGGTTGTCATAATTTTGTCTGCTTCAAAGCTCATGTTTACCCGAAGACTGTTCAGAGATCACATCCCATAGACTAGATCTTTTTCAATGCTTTATATCGGAGTGATCATGGCAGCAGCAAGGCACACCAAAGCCTGACCATCACGCAGTGGCACTTGAAGTAGTGGTATACTACTATTTCTGTTGGTGTGACCCTGTTTTGCCTTTTCTTGTATTTCTCTATGCCAGCCTCATCACCTGTTACCTATTACCGGAGTGGTATCATCATCTTCAGCATGATGATAATCACTACAATTTTGTTGTAGTGATGGATATATAAAGTCACTTATGTTTATTGCCTTTGCAAAAAGCATGTTTTTTAAGCATGAATGGAACGTAATGTACCTTTTTGACATGCATACTCTCCTCTAACAACTGATGCTATTATCTTTTCCTCTCTCTAATGCATACATGCAACCAAGAGTCACATGTTATGTAGCAAGTGCAGGATTGTCTGACTCGATTTATAGCAGATATCAGCCTCATGCTTAGGCTTGGGATGGGATGATGAACATTTTTGGACACCGTAAGTATGCAGTCATTATACCTCACTAAGTATCATTATCAGCACTGTTTCCTATTCCTTCCCTAACGCCGCCATCTAATTAATGTTTTTGATTATTTCCTTCAGGTCCATTTAATAGCTTGCTTTTAAATCTGTATAATGGGGTAATGACTACGTAGGCTGGCATGCTGATGATGAGAAGCTATATGGTTATGGATCAACCCCTGAAATTGCTTCTGTTTCCTTTGGATGTGAACGTGATTTTTTCTTGAAGAAGAAATGCCATAACCTCCTCAACCTTGTAGGAGCTGTAGTAATTTTGTTAAAAACACAATCCCAGAGGCTTAGTTGCACATATCCATGTTGATTGTCATCTTGCCACGTTTCTTAATCACTCTCATTTTGAATTCCTTTTTTATATTAGTGTTATTTATAAGATAACGGTGGAGCATTCATTGATTTTTATCTATGATTGTTTTTGCTGTGAGTGCTAGAAAGACCTGATGAGAAACCTCGGTTGAAGAGGTTTAAGAGGAGCAGCCACGTTGATCAGCACTGTTTCACTCTAAAGCACGGATCGCTGTTGGTGATGAGAGGGTAAACTCAGCGTGAATGGCTGCACTCTGTGCCTAAGTGAACAAAGGCAGGATTAATCTCACCTTTAGAAGGGTTCTGTGATGTCAGGATTCAAGGAAAATGGTTTTCTAGCCCTGATGTTTAAATATTGTATGTGTTAATTGTATTTGGGGTTGGGGGTAATCAAGGAGACAAGGTGCGTAATGTACGGTATAGTTTTTGGTTGTATGAACAGGGGAAGGGAATGGTTAAGAACATGTGTGTGGCCTAGATATAGTCGTTGAAAGGCAGGCTGTTTTCTTGGGCGGAAGATCCCAATTCTGTGCATATCCATCCATGAATGATGGATATAGCTGGTTTAGCTATGCAGTTGTGGCGAACTTAGGTGGCTTACCAAATACTATAGCTAGGAATTAATTGAATGTAGTAAGAAAGGGAAAAGTGTATGTTTAGCCGTGGAGACTTGGACTTTAGTGGTTGTTGTGTTATCAAATTATGGAGTAGATTAGGAATGGTATTGATGTGGGGCACGCGAAGTAACGGCCATAATCATTTCCTACATAATAATAGTATAAGTAGTATGTTATATGCATCTTTAAAATGGTGAATATATAATTTCTTGTAATTAAAGTAAAGAAAGTTTAAATTTAAAATTTAACTCAATCTATTAATAATTTTTATTTCAGCAAGGAACATTTAAGAAGGTTTGAGTTTCAATTTTAATAGTTCTTTAGGTCGTTCCTAAACTACAACTGTCTGGTCTTAGTGTTTACTCCTACGAAGTTACTTTTAGGCCCATACGTGCATACGTGTGCGTTTACGCTTGCCAACATTGTTGTAATAATGTGTAATATCTATCCTCTTCTGGCAACAAGTCAGGCTCGCAAGATCGCCCACGCTTTGCTACTTTGCTTTGCTGTCTCTATACTCTGTAACTCTTGTCTTTGGTCAAACACACTTTCTTTTTTTCTTTCTTTCTTTACAATTACGATTAAATTTAATACCTTTCCTTGTGTCTCCATCTAATCTAAACCACAGCAGTTCTTATTTTGTCTTGGGTATTAATCTGGACTCTGTTTTTCATTTTTCTTGAATTAATTTAATCATAATTCTTCGTATGTGATTTAAATGTTACAGACTTCAGACAGGTGTCTGTCGTTTGAAGTTTTGAAGTGCTTTTGCGATGGCTCCTCCACCTTCCTCTTCTTCTTCTTCTTCTTCTTCAGATTCTTCCATGATCAGACCTCGAGGTTCCTTCCTTCTTTCTGTCATTCCCTTCCTTTCAGTATTTTGGGTTTTTCTCTGCCATCAATTTATCATCTTTATTGCTGATACACTTTTTTAACTGCCTCTAATCTATTCGTATTAACATCATTAGAGCTACTTACTGCTTGCGCTTCAAAGTTGAAACAAAATTCTCTTTCTTGTATTTTCTGTTCTTATCAAAAGGAATTAGCTTGCTTCTGCCTAACACGTTGTTTTTCTGAGTGTATAAGTATAACTTTATATAACTAATTGGAGCATCCTTGCTTTTAAAACATACCAGTACTAAATTATGAACACCTGGCTTTGGCTTAAACTTTGATTGACACAGATGTTTGTATCGTGGGTGTTGCACGTACACCAATGGGCGCTTTCCTTGGCTCCCTTTCCTTTTTCTCTGCTACCCATCTTGGATCTATAGCCATCCGCTGTAAACTCCTAAACCCACAATTTTACTCCTTATATTTATTTTCACTTCCAATTAATGCCTTCTTTAACACAAACACGCAGCTGCCCTTAAAAGGGCAAACCTTGATCCATCACATGTGCAGGAGGTTTTCTTTGGAAATGTTCTTAGTGCAAACTTAGGCCAAGCTCCTGCTAGACAGGCTGCATTAGGTGCCGGTATTCCTAATTCTGTCATTTGCACGACTATTAACAAAGTTTGTGCATCTGGAATGAAAGGTAAATCCTGTTTCTGGACAAAAGAATGCTGATTCTTCTTGCCAAGTATGTGCATGTGAGATGTCTTATTAGTTGTTCCTTCCTATCCCAGCGGTGATGCTTGCATCACAATCTATCCAATTAGGCATCAATGATGTTGTTGTTGCTGGTGGTATGGAAAGCATGTCAAATGCACCCAAGTATTTGGCAGAGGCAAGGTGTGCATCCATGCTTTGGTCACGTCTTGAATTGTTTCATGCTGTCTTTTTGCTTTTCCAAAACTCAGTGATTTGAGGAAGTACACTTTATCTTGCAAATGTAGACGACATTTAATGAATTAAACAATAATTTTCTAACTGATTTAAAAGGCATACTGAGATACAACATATTTGACTACATTGAACTGAAATTGAAGACCCTGTACCTGCCAGGATCAGATAGGTGGCTAGTTGGTCAAATTTAGTTTGAGGAATTGTTTTTATGAAGCTTTCCTGTATAGAAATAGTTTTGGTGCATGGTTAGATAGATGTGTCTGCAAACCAACGTTTCCACCACAAAAACTTGTTGTTTGGTTAAAAAATCAGTGTTTTCCCTTTGATTTGTTTGGTTATCATTGCATTAGATGATTGGCTGCTTAATGCAGCTCTTAATAAACTAGAGAATTCACTAAATATTTCTTGATTTCTAATCTCATTGTTGTTTATATGCTATTAAAAGTTCTATCTCCAATTTTATGGGCAGAGAAGGATCTCGAATAGGACATGATACCATTGTTGATGGCATGCTCAAAGATGGCCTGTGGGATGTATATAACAACTTTGGGATGGGAGTATGTGCAGAATTATGCGCCGACCAACACACCATTACACGAGAGCAGCAGGTACTTTTTCTTAGCAATCCTTATGTTTTACACTTCCTTGCGTCTTGTGTATTTCTAAGTAGAGCTAATTATTCGTGTTTGTTTTAACTTATATTTTTCTTCTCATACAAAGTTTTAGGGTCTTATCCCACTAATAAGTTGCCCTTTAATGGTATCTAAACCATGTTCTAAGATATTTGAAATGCTTTTCTTTTTATGCTTTGGTTGCATTCTCATTTATGTTGTTTACTGTTTTACCCACTGCATAATACTATCTTAGGGCTAACCGTATATCTTTGGGAGTTTATGCCTGTTAATGTTCTCCATATGCTAAACTTATCCTCTGTTGCAGGATTCTTATGCTATTCAAAGCTTTGAGCGCGGGATTGCTGCTCAAAACAATGGCCTCTTCGCTTGGGAAATAGTTTCAGTGCGGTTTCTGATCTCACTCTAAAATTAGGGGGAAATTGATAGTTTATGGTATCCTGTCAACATAAATTCCCAAATTTGTATGTGCAGGTTGAAGTTTCTGGTGGAAGAGGGAAACCATCATCAGTTGTAGATAAGGATGAAGGTTTAGGAAAGGTATGAAGAAAGATTGTGCTTGGGATTTTTCATTTCATATAACATATGTTCTTTCCTGTGTTTTAAACATTTGGTTGTCCTAATTAAATATCTAATCGCATCCCACTTTTCATGTTTTGAGTTTTTGTGACCCAACATTGCTGGGATTTTACAAAATGCCCTGTGAAGAAAATGGATCTGTAATAGCAATAGTTTTCCAGGTTGTAGCACAGAAGACCCGTCATTTTGATGGTTATCAATTATTTTGGATGCAGTCTTAGTACAGCTGCTTTATTCCCAAATAATACCAAACTCCTTGCTTAATCTATAGTGGTCTAATACATACTTCACTGCTGATCTTTTTTCTTTTTTTATCTCTACATTTTCTAGTTTGATGCTGCAAAATTGAGGAAGCTTAGACCAAGCTTTATGGACGATGGAGGATCTGTTACTGCTGGCAATGCTTCTAGCATTAGGTCTCTTCTCTCTACCTCCATCCATCCCTTTTAATGTGTTCATACTTGTGATGTATTAGCAGTATGATTGCAATTGCATTCTGGTCCTATGTTCTTTGTAATAAAAAATTCGCTCTTGCAAATTAAAATGATATGTTGTGAGTTTGAGCCACATTTTCTCACTTTTACAAAGCAAATATAAGTTTTTTCTATCATAAAATGTTAGTTGCATGTTACTTAGGGTTATTCCTTATTAGTAATGGGCTGGTCTATTATGTTGGGTAGTGATGGTGCAGCAGCATTGGTGCTAGTAAGTGGTGAGAAGGCAATTAAGCTTGGTTTGCAAGTGGTTGCTAAGATCAGAGGATATGGTGATGCTGCTCAGGTACTACAGATAAGATTTGTTTGCATTTGTCTTGGTGTTGGCTTATTTTAGATAACTAAAGTTGATGGAGCTTGTCTTGGCAGGCACCTGAATTGTTTACAACAGCTCCAGCCCTTGCCATACCAAAAGCTATTTCAGCTGCTGGTTTGGAGGCTTCTCATATTGATTACTATGAAATAAATGAAGCTTTTTCAGTAAGAAAATAGGCTAATGCTTTGATAGTCTAGTATCCTAATAATCAAGTGGTTCACTTTTTATTTCAGAAAATTAAGTGGTTCATTATAAGTCCATTTTCTTTTTTGCAGGTTGTTGCTCTTGCCAATCAGAAATTGCTTGGCATTAATCCTGTAAAACTTCCACCATCCACAAAATTTTTAGTTGAATAGTTCATTTGTGAATCTGTAATTGACTCTTCTTTTCCAGGGTTTCTTTAGGCTGGTTCAATGTGCTTTTTTGCCTTTTGCTTTATATGATTTTTCAAAATCTTTATTTTTGTGCTTTTCTTGAATGCAGGAAAAGATTAATGTTCATGGTGGAGCTGTATCTTTGGGACATCCATTAGGATGTAGTGGAGCTCGTATATTAGTCACATTATTGGGGGTAATTAGTAGGAGCTTGTTTATAGTTTTTGGCAACACTATTTTCTTTCTAATGATACAAAATACATTTAGATACCCCTCCCCACTCTCTCTCTTTCCTTCAAATATGATAAATGGTTTATAGCTGCTGAGCAGGCCTTCGTGCTCTCTCTCTCTCTCTCTCACACACACACACACACACACACACTCACACACACACACACACACACACATGCAAGACCTCATTCTCACATTCCATTAACAGGATACATAATTGGTAGATGATGCATTGATTCTTTTCTTTTAAAATGGATAATACATAAAAAAAAGTATTTACTGTTAAACTTCTGCTTTCATTTAAGAGCATTAGGTATAAATGTATTGCAGGTGCTGAGACATAAGAACGGAAAGTTTGGGGTTGGTGGAATCTGCAATGGAGGAGGAGGAGCATCTGCCCTTGTTGTTGAGCTCATGTAAGCCCTCTATAAATATTTGGTGAGGTGTATGCCCATTACACTTAATAACTTTCTAGTCCAATCAGACTGTTCTTAACATTGCTATCAATTTGCGAATTCACACTACACGTATTTCGGAGTATTAATAAATTTATTGTAATTTAGTTCAATACTTTAGGAAGACTACTGCTTGATTGCTCCATGGTATTTGGTGTTTCCTTGCCCAGAATAACTTCTGTTGAACTCAAATTTTCATTTTACTATAAAATAAATTCCGACAAAAAGAAGAGCCTTTTCACAACAGTGAGGTTATATTTACATTTTTAACTTAATTAAAAGAGATGTCCAAGCCCTCATCATCCTAGGACCTGGTCCTTTTCTGTACTATCGTGACATGTAATTTTCTATATATAAAACTCTTTGCTATGGTGTTAATCACGTGATGAAGAATGTTGCATTTTGCAGGCCAGTTGCAAAAGTGGGACAGTCTTTGTTATGATACCAATAAACATGCTGATGTGAAGGGTTTTTTTTTTTGTTTTTGGAACTTTAATGGAAAATAAAAGTTGTATCATCAAGTCTTGTGGAGGTAGAGAACTTGGGTTTCTTTTTCAGGTTTGTTCCTGTTTTATCATAATATTTGAAACTGTCTTGTAAGCTTGGGATTCGTTAGTTGTACTTAAGTAATTGGATTAAAAGGGACGTGCACTTTCTCTTGAATTAATGAAACCAACATATAACTCAGAAGGAAAAAAAGTGAGAAGGTTTAGCTTCCACTTCCAAGCAAGAATTTATTTATTTATTTACGTGCATGTGGTGTGGGGTAGGAGCCAGTTGGCGATAGCATATATCCTGTGAAATCCAGTACAACGAGGTGGTAATCTGGTAGTTATGTGTGTTACGGTAGGTTGTTATTGTTATTTTATGTTTTATTATATCTATTTACTTATTTTTTTCGAAAATTTTATCTAATTTAAAAAAGAACCAAGATACAAAAAATCAAATGAGATTTCACTGGACGCATAAATTGGTCATTTTTTTCTCATAAATGAGTTTGTTTTATTTTTGTAAAATTTAATCATAGCTTTTTAAAAGCAAAAGGCAAAAAAAAAATAATTGGTCATTTATTCTCATAAATGAGGTTTTATTTTTTTTTTTTTGTAAAATTTAATAATAGATTTTAAAAAGAAAAAAGTAAATAAAAAATAAAGAATAAAACAAAAATTAAATTCAGATGTGATGTTCATATATTTGTAGTATTTTTTTAAATTATTAGAAAAAAATTTTAATCAATAATATTAAATGGGATTTAAAATATAAAAAATTATTAAATATTAAGAAAAGAAAAACGAGTAGAAAAAATTGTGGAAAACATAAAAAGAAAGTAATGACTAGACACGTGATATACTTTTTGATATTAACTGGATTAGATAAAAAAATAAAATATTTAAAAATATTTATTAAATATATAAAAGAGAAAAATAATAGAAAAAAAAAAGTAAACACGAGATGTACTTTTGATATCAAATGGATTTCACTCTAAAAAAATTACAATTTTTTAAAAATATTAATTAAAAAAAAAAGAGAAAAAGAAAGCAAATCCTTTATATTGAATTGGGACTGATCCAAATTCATAAAATATAAATTGTTTTATTATTTTTATTCGTAAGCTCTTTTTGTTATAAATTATCTAATTAAAAAAATACACAAACAAAAAAAATGAAGAGAAAACAAATGCGGATACCACTTGGACAATTCTGCTAGCTTTCTTTTTTCACAAAATTTATATAATTAAAAAAATTATAACAAAAATTTTAAAAAATAAAAAAAGGAAATTAAAAGAAAAAAAAATTGAACGCATGGGATGCTACATAGACACTTCATCTAACTCGAGATGTTAATATCTTAAATTAACACATAAAATAATTTTATTAATATAATACATATATAAAAATAAATAAATAAATAATAAAATATATACTTTTATATATACTCGAGCTAAGTAGGGGTAGAACATTCTAAATTCACTTTTATCCTAATTTAATTTTATCTTTTAAAAACTTGATTAGACCTAATTTGAATTTGATTAAAAAAATATTTTGTATTGGATTAGGACTGACCAAAATCAATTGAATATTGATTGTTTTGTCATTTATATCCATCGACTCTTTATGTTGTAAAATTTATAACATAAAAAAAAAACAATAAAGGTGAAAGAAAAAAATTAAATAGAGATTTCACATTAACATCTCAATTGGCATATTTTTTTCATAAAATTTATGTAATTAAAAAAATATCGAAAAAAAGAAAAAGAAAAAAAAACAAAAAAAAAAAATGGAGCTCATTAGGGGTGTTTCATAGACCTCTCCATTGAGCTCAAAATGTTAATCCGTTAATTACTTTATTAATATAATATAATATTTAAATTTAAATTTAAATACATACTAAAATATATACTTTTATATATACCATGTGTTCGGAGTAAAACACCCTAATTTCGTTCCTAACCTACCTTATTTATCTTTTAAAACCCGACCTGCTTAAATTTGATTCCAATTTGAAGTCAAAATTCTCAATTCTCCATTTTGTTAAACCTACCTCCAAATAATAAAATATATATTTTTATATATACCTTAGATAAAGCATTCTAAAACCTCTAACCCAATCAAAATTTTTAAAATGAAAAAATTAGCACACCTTGATCAAATCTCGATTTAAAAAATTATCCATATTGGATTAAGACGAGTCGAAATCCATGAAAAATAGATGAATTTGTCATTCCTACCTTCATTAATAATTTTTTTACAAAATTTATCTAATTTAAAAAAGAAAAAGATAAAGGGAAAAAGGAAAATCAAATGAGGGTGTCATATGACACCTCTATTGACTTATTTTTCATACAAAATTTAATATATAGATTTAAAAGAAAAAAAAATAAAAAAGCCAAAAAAAATATAGGTGTTATATCAACATTTGTATTCATATCTTTTTTCTTACAAAATATCTAATTAAAAAAAGAAAAAGTAAAAAAAAAATTTCTTAATCAATAATATCAAATGGACTTTTTTTTTAAATTATAAGATAATTTATTAAATATATAAAGAAGAGAAATAATAAAAAATAAAGAAAAATAGAAATTCAAATAAAAATGAAAAAAAAAAGGAAAAAAAAGAGTAAAAAAGGTACGATGCTTAACTAGTTCTATATTGGTTAAAGTTTGAAAAATTAATAATATGAATGGATTAATATTAGCAGGAAAATGAAATAGCCAACCTAACATGAACCATAGAAACCAAATACAATATATACATGATGATTTAATTAATTTAAGGAATGGAACTTATTATTGCTTTTATTACTATTAGAGTTGAATAATTTAAAGGGATCATCTAGATTCTTATTTAAATTCTTATTATTTAGAACATGATCATTATTGAGTCATCAAACTAGAAGATCAGGTCACAGAAAGTGTATTTTGATAGTTTATTTATTTATTTATTTTGGTTACAAATAGAAATAAAAAACTAAGATATTTTTAAATTTTGGGTTTAGGGGTAGACATATATAAGCTAGCTATTATGTTAAATTAAAGGGTTTAGTGTGGCATATTGTAGACATCATATTTAGTCCGAGGCCTAAACCAATTGGGTCTAGATCTGATTTAAACCTAATTGTTCAATTTTTTATATTTTTTATGTTTATACTTTTTTACTATTATAATTTTATATTTTTACTTTTATTGTATTTATCTGTATATATATTTATCTTTTATCCTATTTAGTTAGTTATTTATATTTTTACTTTTCTTTATATGCTTTAATTTTTTTTATTATGATTTATCTTTAATTTCAATTTTATTTATCTAGAAACATTTTTTTTATCTAATTAGTTTTTTTAAAAGAAAAAGGATAGCTTTTAGAATAAAAATGTGATTGGTTGGTCGAAATTTGAGTGGGAAAGGAAGATTGGTTATGAAATTAGGTGATAAGATTTTATTTGAGTTTTAATTCTACAAGTTAAGTGTTGATTTTCTTTTGATAATACAAAATTTTCAAAAAACAAAAAAATCCTGAATAATTAAGAATTCTACCAATCTCTTCCTTTAAATAGACTTATACTCAACAAAGAAAACATAAAGCAATCGAAGGAAAAAAATAGAGAAAAAGTGAGAGCAAGAGTTTGACAGTAAATAATGTATTTTGATTCTAATGGAATTTTGTTTTAGGAGTGGTTTCGGTTAATTCGATGATGATAATGTGTGAAACAGCTTCAAAGTATTGAATTCGCAAAAGAGGAAATTTTTGCAAATTTTTTGGAATTTTTTTGAAAAATTCTTAGATTTTGGTTGAATTTTTTGATTAAATTCAAGTTTTTTGACGAAATTTCAACTAAAAATCCAAAATTTGTCGAGAAAATCTAGTTTCATAAGAATATTCATGCGAAACCCCAAAAACTAGTGAATATTCTAGTGATGTTTAAGATCGGTTGAAACTTAAAAAAAAAAGAAAAAGGACAGAGCATTCTGGTAGAGAGAGAAAATAAAAAGAGAAAGAGCAAACGAATTATGAGAAAAGAGAAAACATTCAACCTTTTATAATATCCTAAAAGGGTACCATTTTGAGCATAAGTAAATTCCAAGATTTACGTGTTACCCCAAAGGCAGATCTGATCCGCATTGTTCAACTTGACTCGCAAACTGTTCCAGTAGCCAGCGCCCAAGTAAAGTTGAGTCATGATCCAAGCTGTTTTAGCCAATTTCTATTTCTGTAACTGAGCTGTATCATAGGTCGAGCTGAACCAATTCCCTTTTTGATAATTTTATTTTATATTTTTATTTAAATTATATTTATTTTGATTAATTTTTTTCAAATGTTTTAAAATAAATTCATAAATCCTACCAAATTATTGAAGGATTTTCATGGGTTTTAGATTTTTTAATTATGAATTCTACCAAATTGTTGGAGAATTTTATAATAAAATTTTATAAAAAAAATAAAATTTTAATCCTACCAAACAATTAGAGGATTTAAATCTCTGAATCAAGTATTACCAAACTATTGAAGGATTTAATGAATTTTCTTGAAAAAATATATTTTTTAATCCTACCAAACTATTAAAAGATTTAAATCTCAAGTTAAATCTTACAAACTATTGAAAGATTTAATGAGTTTTTTTTACAATTTCATGGATAAATTTTTGAATAAAAAATTCTCCCCAAACTATTGGAGATATACATTGAAAAAAAATCCTACCAAATCGTTGAAAAATTTTATTGATCGTTTTTTAAAAATAATTAACTCAAAGAAAATATGTTAATGAATCCGATGATGGAGCCTTTTCAGAGTGGAACACTAGTCTCCATTAATAATCTTAAGGTGAGAAAATTATCTTAAATTGCTACCAACCTATTGGAGAATTTTAAAGTTAATTTTCAATAATTAAATTCTTTGGTAAGTTGAAAACATGTTTTAAGGTTTGGATAGCACGAAATCAAACTGATATCATCCTTTGGATGGGCATTGTGAGGTGTTATAACCTTCACGCGTAACTGTACTTCTGGACCTAGTTCTAGTTTTATAGAATAGAATCTACCTTTTAAATATACCCGAGTCAACTTTAAGACTTCTTTTTAAAATGCGATAGATTCAATTAAGTGATCAATCGCACCTAAATAAAAAGAAATAAAAGATTAGTGACGACTTCTAAAATCAAGTCTAGTG